GCGTTGTTCAACAAGGAGAGAACCAACACCAAACAGAAAAGGAGTTCTTGTCTTCGATAGTGAAAAACGACTGCATATAGATTCGCTGTCTTCATCTTTACACGGGGATTATCTATTACTTCTGTTTTGTTAAAGTCTTTGTCGTTGTATTTAAGGACTACTTCACGTGTCATTGAGATAATCTGATCCCTAAATATCGACGTTGTGTATTCTTAGATGATCTACTTCCCGTAATCAATCGCATTTAGTCACGAACATCTCTCAGCTGTCGGTTACCTGGTTACGTTACATCGGAACCAAACGGTGATGATGCGGGATTGATTCTTACTTGCAAATATGAATTGATCAATGGCCAAAAGTAGGGATTGGGAAGCAAATGAAGAGACTCTAGAGGTAAAGGAATCCGAAAAATTAAATCCTGTTTGCTTTATCTGACGGCCTAGCTAACGAAAGGAATCTTTCCGTAAAAATCGACAAAGGAGTTGCTCAGGGAGACAGGAATAATTTGAACAATATCCTTTTTGGCTGTCGGCTTTCGCAGAACTTCCGCACACGCTGGTTCAGCGAATTCGACGGAACTCGCCTACATCAGAAAGAAATTCCGCACACGCTGGTTCTACAGACTTGAACTGTATAGTTTCGGTTAACTCGACTTTATTCTTCACACAGCATTACACGTTTTGTTCTACGATCTATCTCAATCCCATCCGCTATACTAAGAATTGCAAAAATGCTACGTTTTATTAGCTACAGATCTATACCCCCAGTTACGTAAGTCCGGGATGGTAAGATAATTTAAGCTAACTTGACAAAGTTCCAGTTTTTTTTTTACACATATATTCTTCAATGATTCGTGGCCACTAATTTCTTGTTACATCAGTTTGCTTGATAATCATAGTGTTAATCTATGCATGCAGTTTTATTAGCGACTATTTGATTAAATACATCGTTGGGTGTGACTTAACTTCCTTCGACATTCTACAAATCAAAGTTAGCGACACGAAATAATAGCTTACTCACTCAACTACTAAATATACCGAAACAAGAAACTTTATTATGAGCACGTGCAAACTTTCCACGACAGTCGGCAACTGATATTCAAACTTTCACGCTCTGCCTGAGAAGCTGAATGGCCATCGAAAGAAATCGAGAAGGATTGTCTTGTAACAGAGAAACAAGAACAATCTCAAAGGTCGTCGCTCAAATGACAACCTGTAGACCACGGACTACGGACTATACGGACTGGACATAAAAACATGGACCATGCAGACAATTACATGAAATGCAGACTAGGCATCACTTATAAGATAAAAGTCAGGCAGAGGTTTTGGGGGGCTGACATTATTCGTCGTCATGAAGAGTATCGGAGTCAATATTTCTTAATTTTAAAAGGGTTGCTTTCTCAATATTCCCTAAAATTAGCGTATCTGGAGGAAATTGTAGAGATCTTCGTTCGCGTGATCGCAACTTGTCGCGTTAAAGCAAGTTGCTTAATCCGGCTAAACGTAACTGCTGGTTGCGTTTTATCGTGATAATAATATTGTACAACTACGGATAGAGACAGTAACGTCGACGTATGACCAGAAAAAGGGTTTGATTAGGAATAAAACAAATAAAGAGAACAAATTGATCACTCAGAACGTTTACATTAAGTGAACAAATTGTCGAGGACGCTAAACCCTTCAGCGAATTCGACGGAACTTTGCCCAGCTACAAGAACAATTTTAACAACATCCTTCTCAAGTAGAACTGATCTTGTACTTTTCGTACCCTTTTTGATGAGCTAGATGGCCACAGTAGCTGAAGGAACAAAATATTTCGATGAAATCAAGAATGCCTTGCTACAGAGAAAGAAAGAAAAACTTCAAAGGTCAACGAGAAATAATAAAGCGCAGACCGAGACTATGGAATAAAGGAATAGGTACAAAACAAGGACCACCTAGTATGAAAAGCCGACTACAAATCTAATTTCGTCTATTCGATTCCAGTGCATTACATAGAGTGGACCATTGGACATTAGTTTTTTGGATATCGTATTTGCATATTTGAATTTTAGCGTAGCAAAACAGTTGGTTCGACGCATTCTAGACAAAGATTATAGACATTGGGTACAACTTAATGACTTGTTCATTGATCAACCTAAATTAGCCTAATTGAAGGAAATTACTTGTAACTGTTGAAAGTTCTGGAATTTTTTTACTTGTATATTCATATGAATGGTCTGAGTTTTTCACTTACGCTCAATCTGCGTAACACTCATTATGTTCATTGACTATCACACACGGTAAAGACGTTTCGTTTAACAGTTGAAGGAGACAAGCCAATCAGTATATTTCTGCTTATCACTCTTACATCATAGCGGAGCTCACGCGTTCGGCAAAAGCCCCATATTTATCAAACATGGTAATATATGTACTAACAATAACCCATCAAAACGAGAAAGATCTATTTCATCAGTGAACCATAGAACCGTCCGTACAAGGTGCTGCTTTTAGCATGCGCGAATCGGTTGAAACGCATGCAAAAATCTTCAGTTGACATCACATTTGCAGTAAGGGAACCCCCCAGGGGTAACCGCGAAATCGTATGAGATTGCGCAAATAACATATGAGCAGCCTGATGAAGTGCACATACTCTAATGCAGTGTCCTAGTACAGCGTACTACAGGCACAAAGTAAGGAATATCACGAGGGCTTCCGACTTGGGCTAGTTGATGTAAAACCCGCCCAGGCAGAGGATTTGCAACTTGCCAAATGTAAAAAAATGAGCCTAAAATTAAATAAAGGCCTCAGTGAGATAACATTTGGCCCTACCTGGGATAAATTGCTTAATGTGACAATAGTATTTCACGCTATAAATCGCGTCAATAAAATAACCTAAAACTGAAGCCGTGTCCTCCTTTAGCCATTGACCGTGAATTTATTCAATAACGTGACTGATGAGATCTAGAAGTTTCTGTTCGAAAGACTATCTAAAAATGACTGGATAAAGCGGTCAAGTTTCTAAAGAAAATGTGGTGCTGCATCGTTGGGGAGTATAACAAGATAATCTAAGAAATAACTGGAGCGGGTTGGCATATCTTGAAGTTTTTCGCTCTGCTCCCCTATTTCCACTTCTATCAGAACTGTTTTTATGCTACGATCCAGCCTATTTCCTTGGTTTTTTCTCTTCCCTTGTTGTCCGCTGGGGGAGTGGTGGCAAGTAAGCGCTATGATCATTTTCAGAGACTTAACTGCTCACAGAAGTGTCTCAGGTTTAACAGAGAAAGCTAACTTGTCTGCTGGTAACAAGCTGGCCATGACTAAAGCAGATTTTCATGAAAATTTGATAATGTGATTGCCAAACAACACTCGTCCATTACTGCATTTCTTCCTTTAGTTTTCTTTGAAATGTTTCACCTAAAGTGGATTTCATGGAGGTGTTTACAAATCCGTCTCTAGATAAGACTTTTCGGAAGAAAAAGGAAAATCAAGCTTAAAAAAGTATCCTTTGGAGGCGAAATTTCAAATGATAATTGAATAGGTAAACAGGAAATTTCCGAAAATAACTAGTGTACAATTTCAGCAAAGAAAAAAATGCTTTACTTTAGTGGGTAGGTCTGCATCCAAACACGAACAGAAATAATAAGAAACTGTTAACTGATTTAAAGGATTCTGAAGAGGAATCAATTGAAAATTTGCCATCAAAAGCTACTAAGCTTTATCATTGACAAGTTTCAATCTGATTTTGATTTTAAAGGCTTAATGAATCAGGGCTCAATCGCAGACACATAGTGGACAACAGAGTTCATTGCTGCCTGTACTCTATCTGTCCTCATGGCCATGGGTAAGTAATTAAATAGTCATTCAATTTCAGTGCAGTTAAGGCTCACTAACCCTTAATTGAACCCCTTAGAGTGATTGGCTTCTAATTTGCGACCCTTGAATCAAATGCAAAGGTCACGAGAACATAGCAAATGATCACCAATACGAGGCACTCATGATTATTAAACAAATTCTCCTCATCAGTCCCACAGGAAAAGTGTAGAGAAAAGTATAGAGAACATGCATACTGATGGTAGGGTGTAAAGGCCGTTCGTTGTTAATAAGAGTTGACTTCACTGGGATGCCTGTTTTGACAGGAACATCACAAAATCTCAGAGTCAGGGATGTGTTACCTCTGTCAGTGATTTGGACACTGTGACGATGACAGCTTCCTCATCAAATTTCCATATGCTGAGGGTTTCAATAACAAAGGCTGATAGTTTCTAAAGAAACTGCTTGGGGCTGCGTCGGTGGGGGTAACGAAATAATTTGGATAATTATATCAACAAAGTTGAAATGGTAAATTGGCAGCCATAACGATTGCAAAAGCTGACGTCTTGAGCGTTAGCCCCTTCGTCGGTTTCAATAATAGCTGGTTACTGTAGGTTTCTTGCTGCCTTTAAGACCTTACTACCAACCGGTTGCCTGCAAGCAGGCTCCTGTGTTTGGTTGTCATCTTTAGCCTTTTTTAAATACATTACTGACCATAAATTCTTGTTTGATGTAGGTTAAAGCCAATAGACATTGCCTTCATGAAGACACTGCATACCAAAGTTAACATTGTTCCAGTTATTGCAAAGGCTGATTGTTTGACAAAGTTTGAAGTACAGCGACTAAAAAGAAAGGTCAGTGGTGTGAACTCTTATGTTATAGTAATTAAACCACACCCATCTTGCACAACCCAGCAAACAAATGAGACAATGAATTCTATTTTGGCAGCTTTAGCGAGGAAACAAAGACACCCTGAGGGCTCGATAAAAGCCCCAGGGTGGGAGGGTAAATTATGAACTGGAATGACTTAGCGAACAAAACAAAGTTATCATTATGAGAACTAATTATCTTTCAAGAGGAAGCCAGCATGTAGGCCTGTGTTTAATTAAGTTTTTTCTCAGGAATCATGAAAGAAATGTCTTATATAGTAAAGCCTCCTTCCACTGACTGAAAAGAGAAAAAAACTGCAGATGGGATTGTTAATCGTGAATTATAGACCAGAGATGAATGAAAAGATCCTCTGAATCTCAAATTTAGTCACATATGTGTATTCATTTGAATGTTTTTTTCTTCTGGTAGATTTTAGAGGAGATTGATGACAACGGTATTAAAATTTACACTTTCCCTGAATGTGATAGTGAAGATGATGAAGAATTTGTGCAAATCAACCAAGAACTCAAGGTGAGTGCAAATATGCGTTAGTGAAGTACAATTCTACTCAAAAGTAGGTTGACATGCAGTCTCAACCCTGATACTCGATCCTTGAAACTATGGAGAATTGAGGGACTGTCAACTTACTTTTGAGTGGTACGGTGCTCTCTTATTGAAAGCTATAACCTTTAGCATTTACCTCCTTGCTAACCTCTACTGCAAATTCCCTACGATTACTTTAAAGTAACTAGGAGTGCTTCTTTTCCTTTGACAAGATATCATTATCTGTTTGCTGCTCCTTGTGTTTACACCTGGTCAGGACTGGGTCGTTCCAGAGTAAAGTTCCGTTTTAAAAACACACCAAAACAACATTATCCATCCATGGTTTAAAACCAGGGCCCAGTCGTTCAAAGTGCTACTTGTGTTATCCAGCAGATAAGTGTTGACAGAACATGCTGCACTATTCGTGCAGCAGAGATTTATTTAGTGGATGGCGTTACCATCCACCCTTCGAACAAGAGGGGCCAGCTCATTTATAACTCCTCTTATACTACAGTGTGGAGTGTGGCCTCAAGTGCATATCTTAGAGTGGGCTTGAAATTGTAATTAGAAAAATCAAGGTCACCATGCATAGATTCCTAGGCAATGAACTAAAGAATAGCAAAAATATGATGCTCCACCAGACTACCAAAAAAAAAAATCAGAATTTGCGGTATTTCTAATACGATCTTCAATGCAAAACGTCACAGTGCTTAAAGGACTGATCTTGTTAAACAGAGATTCAGAGAAGGACCAAAAAACATGCACTATGCAGGGGAAAGAGTAAAGCTCTGATGTAATTGAGTTTTTTATTGCAAGGTAGCATTCCTTTCGCTGTGATTGGTAGCAACAACGTAACAGACGTGAGAGGAAAACAAGTTCGAGTTAGGCAATATCCTTGGGGAATGGCAGAAGGTATTTATTATAACTAAAACACGGTGATTCCGTTTCACCGAGACCAACTCTGGGACATGAAAATTTGGCAATAATAGGAGGGTGGTTCAAGATAAACGAGAGGACAAAAATGGATGTCTTTGAATTCCTACGTATGCAAAGACTGAATTGATTGATTGTTATCACAGATTGGTGCTGTGTTGGTACAGTGAAGCAAATCCAGAGAGAGACGTCTTGAAGTGTGTTTAAAATTGTGTGTCATATAATAACAAACAGAATTGTTTACAATTTCTTCCTGTTGGTATTTCTAATTCATGTAGGATGTGTCTAAAACGAAGACCCAAAAACGCGGACCTAAGACCCACTGGTCTAAAACGAAGACCCACTGGTCTAAAACGAAGACCCTGTGGTCTAAAACGAAGACCCACTGGCCTAAAACAAAGACCACTGGTCGAAAACGAAGACCCACTGGTCTAAAACGAAGACCCTGTGGTCTAAAGCGAAGACCCTTTGGTCTAAAACGAAGACCTTGTGGTCTAATTAGAAATGCTCAATACATTATCGCGTTTAAAAATCCTAGAGATAAAATCGTGTTGCAAAATTTAGTGTTACAAATGTATCCCACAGACTGGCAAACGGAAGACCCACTGGTCTAAAACGAAGATCCATTGTTCTCAAAACCTTTTTTTTCAAGGAAAGGCTATACACTAAGCTAAAATGCTCTCATTTCTGTAGCGCATAAACTAAAAAATGTCATCTGAGCGCGCGACCGACTTGACAGTTACGTTATCTCAGTCGGTACAACACATGTCAAATTGTGTAACGCAATTAAAATATACGTTTTAGTGAAATTTTGGTATATTTTGTCGTCACAAATATTCTATTTTTCAAATATATATTAAGAAAATTACGATGAGGTGACTTCATTACTTTGCTACTTTGCTTATCTTTATCATATAAAGGCGCAAAGGTCGACTGTGCATGACTCGCTAATTTATTAACCACAGGCTACAAGGATGATCTTCCTCCAGAATGATGTAAAACCATAAACACTAAATTTCTGCAGTGCATAAATAATTAAAGTGTCGTCTGAACGCGCTTCATCTGTATTACTGCGTTCAACCACACGTTACAGGCGCTAGCGCTTCGATGCGAAACGAAGTTGCTGAGATTTCCGAAAAAAGCATCGAAGGCGCAAAAACCTCTGGCAATGATCAGAGGAAAAGTCCTAAGTATGAGACATTACCTCATGCCGAAGAAAGATACCTGTATTAAAGTCTCCAGGATCCGTAAAAGCCGAATCTTTCCAAACAAAACCAGAGGTAACCGATGAATAGTCATAATCAGGTTTTGCATGGCAAGCAAACAGCAAAGAAGGGCGATTAAAACATTTCGCGGAGGCATTTTGCTTTGCAACAGCCTTTGACCGGGAACGATGTCGAAGGAAACGCACTGTCACGAAGTCTCGGTACCTATTTTGATCGATTTACATTTGTGGTTACACAAATAATTCGCACGTTATAAGTGCGAACGATGCTACGAAAAAAAAAATTCGCTGTTACAAAATTTTCAATTTTTTTGCTAGTACCAAACCAAATTTTTTGGTGCAGTGCGAACAAGCCCTAAAACGTATATTTCTATATTCTTAGAATTTAATTGCGTTACACAATTTGACACGTGTTGTACCGACTGGGATAATGTAACTGCCAAGTTGGTCGTGCGCTCAGGTGACCTTTTAATTTATGGGCTACAGAAATGAGAGCATTTCAGCTTAGTGTATAGCCTTTCCTTGAAAAAAAGGTTTTAAGGACAGTGAATCTACGTTTTAAACCACAGGGTCTTCGTTTTAGACCAGTGGGTCTTCGTTTTAGACCACAGGGTCTTCGTTTTAGACCAGTGGGTCTTCGTTTTAGACCACAGGGTCTTCGTTTTAGACCAGTGGGTCTTCGTTTTAGACCACAGGGTCTTCGTTTTAGACCAGTGGGTCTTCGTTTTAGACCACAGGGTCTTCGTTTTAGACCACAGGGTCTTCGTTTTAAACCACAGGGTCTTCGTTTTAGACC